GATTCTGTTTTTTCAAATGCAATCCCGTTTTTTCAAATGTAATCCAGTTTTTTCTAATGTGATTCTGTTTTTTCAAATGTAATTCGTTTTTTTTCAAATGTTGTGATTTTGTGGTTTTTGTTGTGTTTTTTCAAATGTTGTTCATTTACACCTCAGGGCCACTGTATAATGAAAGAAAAGTTTATTTTTCTATTAAACTCTGAATGAAACTCCCGAACAAGAACAGAAACATGTCGGCTTTCAAACTTTCCACTCGCTCATCTCCTGAAGCAGCAAAAGTTCATTACTAATCATAAATGTCACTGGATTAGATTTTTGATCAGATTTGTACTCAAGTTTGAACAGATGACTCCTGAACGACTCGATACTGAGATCGTTGTACCTCATCTAAGACCCTTCATAATCCTGTTTTACTCTGTTGTCAGCAAACACAACAACATGAACAGAATCATGTGCGTTATTGGATCTATGGACGATTAAAAATACTTACTTTACCAGGCCCAAGATAAAGAGCAGACTTGATCTTTAAGATGTAAAAATATTAAATAAAAAAAAAGAAAAAGAAAAAAGTAAATTTGAACAAAGTTCAATCAGGTCATCTGGATGTTTTGTTGTTGTTATTGTTGAAACGTTTCGTCCTTCATCCAAAGGACTTCATCAGTCTGAGGAGCCACAACAAACTCAGTCCCACAAGCAACACACTCCCATAGTGGACCGACCAGTTTGCTGGTGATAAGATGGTTTCTGGGGCCCGCCCTCTCCCCCGTCAACTTCTCTGGGGCAGCAACTTTGTTGGATTTTCTACCTGGATTATTGAGCATGGACTTTGATGTTTTGAATCACTTTGGCTATGGCTGCCTCAAAGGAGTCGACGGGGGAAAGGGCGGGCCCTAGAAACCATCTTATCACCAGCAAACTGGTTGGTCCACTATGGGAGTGTGCTGCTTGTGGGACTGAGTTTGCTGTGGCTCCTTGGACTGATGAAGTCCTTTGGATGAAAGACAAAACATATCATCAAAAAAACGAAACTGTCCAGATGAAATGACTGAACTTTGTTGGATTATCTACCTGGATTATTGAACTTTGACGAAAGTAATAAATGTACGATAACGCCTACAGAGAAGATGCTCACAGCTGGCAGTTGTTCAGTAAAGTCTCTTCTCTTCGTGTAGCATCTCGTCTTGTTGAGACGGGTGGAGACTAGTCGGAAAGGGGGAAATTTTAAATTAAAACAGCCATCTTTGGTTGCAGTCTCACTGACTTCTGAGTGATTGTGACCAGTGCGTCGTGTTGTCACGTTTTAAGCTGCTACGATTTTGAAATCGTGTTTTTTTTTTTAGCACAGTTTGCTTCAACGTATTCTTGGCAATGCGCGTTTTTTTTTCGTTGACCGCTTTGTGCCCTTCACGACAGCCACCCAACATTTCTAATTTAATCTACAGGAATAAACTTGTGAAATGAAGACGGAAGGATCTGCAGCAACATGTTTTTATACAATTATTAAAAATAGGTGTGTTTTTTAAGATCTGGACAATCACATTATTATGATCAACTCTGATTAACAAAGATCATCAAGAAATCATAAAAACAGACAAAGTGAGAGTTCATTAGTAGGCAGCAGACAAATAGTTGTTTCTGGGAAAGTAAAATGTATCCAACAGGTGAGCCGTTACCTGATCTGTAGCGTTCGTCTCTGGAGCCAGACGACCGCCGGCGATTGTACCGTGAGGAGGAGGAGGGGGTGACCGGCGCTCTCCTCTCCTGGCCCATGGCTGGTTCCATTCCTGAGAAAAGATTCAGATTTACATCATCTAACAAGACCAAATAACATTTTGTACAACTCAAAGTACTCGCAGTACTGATCACATCTACAGGGGTGGGGGAGTGGTGGCGCAGAGGTTAGAGAAGGCAGGCCTGGGATCGGAAGGTCGCCGGTTCAACTCTCCGAACAGACATCAAAAGGCGGGTGGAAAAGGTGCAACACCCACACCTGTCTCCACCCTCATTTGCCCCACTCTCTGCCCTTGAGCAAGGCACTTATCCCCCACCATCTGCTCCCAAACAGGTCTCTTGAAAATGAGTCCTCGTGACTTAATGAGACTACCTGTATAAATAAAGGTTAAATAAAAAAATTAAATACAGTAAAGTATTTAAATAATGTTCTTCATTGGTGTTCTAAAGTTTAAATTTGTATATAATTTCTAAACATGGTTAAAATGGTTGGTCACGACACTAAAAACACTTTTCTTTGTATTTACGTCTATTAAAGATAAAAACTAATAACAAATTAAATAATTGTATTTTAGAAACTTTTCCACTTATTTCTGGGGTTAAGAGTTATAAAACTGAGAACCTGTGCTCGAGTGTAATCGAACCTTTAAAAAAAAAAAAAAAAAAAGACCTTTGTCTTTCTGCAAAACTGATTTTAATGTAATGACGATATTAAAATATATCAGGACTGAAGCAGTTCAGGAAAAGTCCTTGATGAACGTGAGGTAATCCTGGAAGAAGCAGCCACTGTGAGCTCGTTTGGCACAGTGCTCATGAATACAATCAGTACCGTGTTTTCTGGCGTACAAGTCGCATTTATTATGCATCACCCGTTGTGTTTATTAAGCGTTAATTTAATGGTCAAAACAGAATTATTTCGCCTGGGCGGCGCAGCGCCATCCATCGCAGTCCGAGCCGCTAGCTCTCCAGCGTTCCTCCATGCACCAGCTGAGTGAAGAAGCGTGCACGGGAGGCCTCACTGTGGCAGTTCCTTGAAAATTTAAAGCGCCAGTCAAAAATTGCATTATGAACATGGAACAAACTTATATAAGCCACTTTGGCGTATAAATCGAAGACTGACAAATCTATGCAAAAAAAAACTGCCACTTGTACGCTGGAAAATATGTCGAGGAAAGCCTGATCTTGCTTTGCTCGTTAAGTCACACACTGAAAACGTCTCAGCTGGGACACCTAAAGCAAACGCACACCACGACTCAGAGTGTGTATTTAGAGGCGTCAAACCTAAAATACGTGCAGCACAGGCAGAAAAATACCTGATTAGTTCATTAAAACTGGGTTTGTTTTGGAGACGACTGCTGGCGTTTCATCCCCGCACATTTTTAGGGCTCGTTTAGTGACGTCACCCTCAGAGCGCGGCATCGTGTCCTGGCTCGTCCAGGACATATGGAGGCGCCATCAGTGGATAACCAAGCCCAGATTAGTGTCGGATTAAGACACGTCCAAAAGGCAATTTATTGTCAGGCATGGGACCGAGTGGCACGTTATCCAGACGTTCTGCACATCAGCCCAAAGGAGAGCGACAGGCTTCATCAGGTCTTTGCTCAGGTGGATTAAACCTCCAGAATTTAAGACCAATGAGTAAAACAAAAGAGTTAGTTAATACCAGATCACTAGTAAAAATAAAAAAAAACGTTTTTATACGACTTCTTTGCTGCCTGTTCTTTGGATTTCATGCTTATGATGGAAACCAGGCAGAGTTGTTGCTCCTCTGTTCACAGAAGACCAGTGCATACGATGCAAGAGTATTTCTATGAAGACTTTCAGGCTAATGCTGAGCACGAGGCTATTATTTAGCTAATTATAGCGAAAAATGACTTTAGGCGATTAAGAACAAAGGATGATCTGCTGTTGGAGGCGCCGATAAATAAAAGTCACGTGATTCACTGGCGTACGCTGAACAAGCCCTATAAACACCTTTATCTGCAAATTTTCATCATTTTAGTTTCTTCTGTTCTAAATAATAGATATATTATGATAAATATAAATGACAACTACTCCTAAAATATTTGTTTTCTTTCCTGAATAAAACCTATAACTGGCATACAGCACATAAGACCTGTAAACCTGCAGAAACTCAGTCCCAGGAAGAAAAAGCTTGCGCCGATCAATAGGTCTGATGAGAATAACCACACTCTTACTGACATCTACGACTCCTCCACAACGGCTGATTTATGAGCATCCACCTCAGCCTCACACTTCCAACCTCGTCTGTCTTCATTAAAAGCTCTCAGAGCGCTGCTGCTGCTCAGGAGACAAGCTGAAAGTTGATTAGCCAACCATTAAATGATTACCAGGCAGCAGAGGAACATATGACAAGTCTGGGAAACACCTCGCATTAAACGTTCCTCCTGGGAGTCTGGATGGATTTCCTCTTCTCCTGCCTCCGTGTACCTGCTCTTATTTCTTGTTTCCTTTAACGTATTCAGCAAACAGCCCGCTTGTTGACTTTATTACATTACCTCTTTGTTCATTAGATGCCGACTGCAACATCTATTGTTGTACATGTAGAAATGCCTTTTTGTTCCCCACCATACGCCAGTTTGACTCTGAGGTAGACCTGTCACGATAACTAATTTTGCTGGGCGATTAATTGCCTCAGAAATTATTGTGATAAACGATAATATTGTTTGAAATTTGACAAGAATGAGTAATTATTGTCAAATTTAAGAAGAAATGTTTAATTTGTTTTGCATGTAGTACCCGTTTTCGACCACTGGATGGCAGTATAAGACCGTTTGAACAAAAGGACGGATAGTGAGGGAGCAGCGTGTCTTTTAAAGAAAAATGGGAGGGAGGCCCCTTGACGTGACATGGGCTGTCTCTCTTCGGTTCTCAAAATGGCGGACCCTCGGTGTGGTTTGAGCTCTTTAGCATAGCATTTTTCACATAAAGCTTTTAATTAAAAAAAAATCAGTAAACAAGTTCTTTACATGAAGGCACAGATTTCAACCGTGAATTTTGGAGCTTCAACAAGACGGAGGTTTTTTCCCCAAGGTCGGCCTGTTAGCTTAGCTTCTCAGCTTAGCTGCTTTTAACGAGCCAAAAACGCTATTTTGGATCGTTAAGAGATTTTAAAGAAAAGGGAAAGGGAGGGGTCGGTGAAGAGCACCGGAGTTGAGCTTTTTGTCTTCCAGTGTCTTCAGTAGAAAGAGAGACACGAAGAAACGATAAAGACGATAAATGAAAATGAGGCCGAGAATTTTCATTTCAACTCTGAAGGTTTACAAACTATTTAAAGCCCTAACATTTTAGCTTATTGTAAGGTTTGATCTGCAGAGAGGAGCTCATTAAAGCAGGTAGTCTGCAAAAATGTTACAAGCTGAAGAAGTTCACGGTTTGAAGAGACGTTGACTCGGCTTGTTTTTGTTTGAGACAAGACAAATTTTTAAAAGAACAAAACTACGTCTTTCATTCTGTTAGTCTTTCTGTAATGTGCAAATGTCTCCATCAGCCAATATTTTTTTTATATTTCACTTTTAAAGAGCCAAACACTTAAATTGTTTTTGATTAATATCCCTCCAGGCTTTCTTTTAAAGTTTATTTTTTCCAACTTTAGTAGATTTCTTTTTACTGATAGTGTGAATTTGACAGTGTTTGCTATATATATATATATATATATATATATATATATATATATATATATATATATATATAATTTAAAAAGATGGAGATCAAAGAACAAGTAGCCTAAAAATCTATTTAAAGTACGTGAACAGTTTATGAAAAGCATGCCTGTAGGAAACAAACATCAAATACCTGTCACATTCTTCATCATTCATCTGATCATCTGTCAAGTTTTAAATAATAACTCTGGAAGTCACTTCGTTGGTGGAAAAATCACACGTGTCAAACTGAGTTGGTATTTTGAAAAGAAATAGTTTCTGGTGACAAAGAACCTACAGATCCAGCTTATTTGTGCTTATTGCACTTACAAATAACCGGTCCACCCCTAGAATTAAGCAGCTTTTTATACCTCAACTACTCACCGGTCAAAGTGACAGAACAAAAAAATAATATTAAAGAATACATAAAAACAATGGCAGTGAAAATGATCGAAAACGTCGCCAAAGTTCAACTCTAAATAATATTCTAAACCAATTTCTCTGGTTGTTTGGAAGCAACATATACAAAAATAAAAATAAAAGGCGACTCAAGACTTTTGCACATTATCATGAGTCACATTTCTTGCAAGAACCTTACACAGCGTACGTGTGGACATGTGGACGTGCAGTCTTGACAGCAGGTAAATGTCCTGGGTGTCACGAGCAAGATATTGTTCAGCTCCCGTGCCAGCAGCTGCTGGGAAACATGGACATACCAGCACTGACAATCTGACAACGTGTGAACAAAATCACTCTTTCTACGGCTCTTAACATCAACGACAAAACAGCCCGTGGTGTTTAAACAGGTTTCAACTACAAATATTAACATCTTACAGGAGTTTTGTCAGTAAGTTGCTAAAAGAGACAAACGTAGCTAAACTTGATGCTTTCTAACACGTGAAGAAGCAAAAAATGTAGCAAAATGAATTTTACGCTCAAAGAGCATTTGAGTCTGAACATCTAGTTTAATTACAATAAATGCAATAAAAACAAGCAACAGTCACTAAAGAAACCGAACCAGTGAGGTAGATTAAATATAAAATTGAACAATAAAGTTAGAGAGGACAGACTGAGGTGGTTCGAGCATGTCCAGAGGAGGGACAGTGGGTATACTGGTAGAAGGATGTTAGAAATGCAGCTGCCTGGAAAAAGCCAAAGATGAGATACAGTAGCCCCTCGCTACTTCGCAGTGCGTTTATCGTGGACTCACTATCGCGGTTTTTCAAAATAAGATTGGACAAGACACACAATTGGCTGATTGATGGATGAGCCGCACTATCGGCATGGATTTTTTTATTTTAAATTAATTATTTTAAAAACTATTTAGCACCTGCTGTACATTTGTGCAGCCCATACTGCAGGATAAGCTTCCTGCTGCAGCTGATCAGCTG